GGAAATAGTATTAGCATTAGCATATGTAACTATTACCCTATTAATAAAATATGACATGATCGCCAAAAAAAAAAAAATAAAAAAATAATAACCTTACCATTACTTCTTTTAAAATATTTAATAAAATTATCATATGCTATCTGCCCGGGTTATTAAATATCCATCATCAACCTTTTGAATATTAACATTACCATTATAATATATTAAAAAGATTCTATTAGATTATTATTGTGGTCCTAAGTTGAAGCTCTTTAATTTAATCATCAATATCCTCATTTGCCTAAAATAACAATAAATAAAATTAACAAAACTTAATTTAGAATACATAAATCATTAAACTTTTGAATGCTAACATGTTATTTCGCAATAGGTTAAAATAAAAATAATGATACCTTTCAGATCCATTAGTGTGTTTTTATCATAAAAGAGAAATACGATTTCTGTCCATTTCTATTAAACATGAATCTATAAATAAATTGGTGTGTTGTGTCATTCATTTAGAATCAAATTCATCAAATACTAACTTACCTATTTGTTGTAGTGTTTTGTGTTAGTCCAACTGCTTTAATTAGAAATGATTTAATAATTATCATAGCGATTTTTATTTTAAATGGCTTGTGAATATCGATGTGCAAACTCTTTTTGGCCTGCAATCATGAATTTATTAACATTAATGTTCTATGTATACAATACAATATAAGGTAATTAAACATCACAACTTACTTGAATAATATATTTCTCGTCAATCAAAACCAGATATAAATAAATTTGTCAATCAGGTCATCTATGTAACTTTGAAATCGAGTAACTGGATAACAGGCATCAGGTGAAATTTGCATCAATTAAAATTTAATTCTAGTGCTTCATTAAAATAGATGCCTATATTACTGCTAAGATAAAGGTATGTATTAGAAGAATTATTATTAATTTGACATATAACAATTTTAATCATAAATGAATACATTTGCCCTTTCTAACCTAATCATGACTTATATTGCAGATTTTATTCATCGTAATTAATTTCAGTATCAGCGTCGCGTTTCTAATACTCGCATTTATGGTAGTCGTATTCATAAGGATCTACTTCATATACGCAAATAATTACAGTAAATTAATACAGTACTTGCGTTCATTTTTTTTTAACCCCAAGTCTTTATAAGCAATATGACTCATACCTACATATTTTCGATAATAAATTTCCAATTTCTTCATTACCAACATAATTTATATTTATAATAAATAATGCCTTACATTCGTCGTTTCTACCTTCAATTCCTTTTTCATAACCAGCAAAGGCTTATACATACCTGCATATTTTTAATAACAACCGAATTTTTAGGTTCATCCTCATAATCTAGCCCTTTTCAATCTGTTTATATGCCCCTACCCCGCACATAACCGTCATAACCAGCCATTTTCTTGTTACGTCCGTATGGTATAGAATTTCAGGTATGCAGCAATGATGAAGATCTAAGATCTAATTCTATTTCAATATCAATAACTAATATTATATATTCTATTAGCGAGAGCATGTCCGCAGATTTCTGACAATATGTCAACTCTGATTTTATAATAAATCTGTTATGCGCCTCTACCCCGCGTATAACCGTCGTAACCAGCCATTTTCTTGTTACATCCATATGGTATAGAATTTCAGGTATGTAGCAATGACGAAGATTTAAGATCAGCTTCAATTCTATTTCAATATCAATGACATTATATATTCTATCAGCGAGAACATGTCAGCAGATTTTTGACAATATTTCAATTCTGATTCTATAATAATAATAACTTACCAACATATATTTCAGCAGCATGGTTAAAGGTCGATGGATTTTTGATAATATTCAGGTGCTTTATTTTTGTTCTTCACAATGCCAATTCCATTTTGTAACAATGCCCAAGGGATATATATTGCAATACTGTTTTCAGTATCAGTAGATTTTGATAATGAACAAACAAACGTTTTATGCTCACCCTTTTTAACTCTTCAATAACGATAAGGCTATTTATTTAGCTATCGCTTCTATCTCTGCTTAATAAAGTCTTAAGTTTCTCTTTATAAAGTTTTGATAATAGTGAACGTGCTATATTTTTCCTTTATTGTAAGTGATTTTGTCATCTAATTTTTTAAGTGAAAGTTTCTAGAACATTGTTGATATTCTAAAATTTTAAAAATTTAAATGAATGCAATTATTATAAAATGTTTATAGTAGTAATAATAAATAATAGATTACCTTAAAATTATATAATATTAATATAGAATAATTAATGCTTATATAAATTAAACATAATAGCAATAGTAAGTATTAAAAGTTTTAACAGTAACAAAAATAATGGCAATGATAATATAAACCTACTTTCTTTTTAACAAATCGGACTATAACAGTAATGGTAAGTAATTTAATATAAAAAATATGATATAAATAATTCTGAGTAGTTAAATAATTGATAAAATAATCAATAGTGCTATTATTGTACTGTTAGCAAAATATTATTTCAATTATTGCTCTTTTTCAAATAAAACACTACTGGCAGAGATTACCTTTTTATTGCTTGTTTCTTATCCAGTAGACCTATAAAGAGTAAGTGATAAGAAATATAATTTATCCAATACTGAAAAGCAAGGAAAAAAAATAATATTACAAGTTTATTGATTTGTCTTTCTTCGTTTATTGTTATGATTATTTTTCTAATAAGTTCGTATACATTGCATATTCCAATCTTGACTATAATCTTGAAGCTTTCTTAGGATTTCAATAGCTATGTCTTCAGGAAAAGAATCATAATTAAGTATATCCTCGAGTATCTTTTTTTTTAGTATTAGTGGTATGTCTACGTTGACGCTTTACATGCTGACTGCTATCACCAATTGTTGCCTTACATCCTTGTTCTCAACCTGATTACTTTGTGACGATTGAACCTGATTATTTTGTGATGGTTGAACCTGATTATTTTGTGATAGTAAACCTAATTTATATACTACTACATTTTTTTTTTGACGTCCTTTTGTATCCCGTTCTTCAGTTTTGTATACATCTTGATGTAAAATTGTCTCAAGTCGAGCTATACTCTTGTCATAACAGGTTAGCATATTATAAAACCCTACATTAGTTATTTCTTTTGCTTCTATAAATAGTTTATGTGTTTTAGGGTCAGTCAGAGAAAAGCATTGAACAATTCATTTGCCAACTTCCACAATAATTCTTTTCGTGGTTGCACAGTTTGATCCTCATTAGCTGCAATAATTGCATCACCCAAATATCTTGACAATAAAAGTTCTAACCTTTCTCTTTTATCTTGCACTAAGCCCATTTGCAACTTTAATTCTTCAATGTCCATAGTTCTTCCACCCATATTTTGCTTTACGAACATGACTCCAAACCGTTCAAGTGCCTCGTCAATTGCGAAAAAGTGCCCTAGGCGTGTGAGATTTATGAAACACACTTGACATAGCAATTCTTGAAGATGTTGATCTTTATTAATATAAGACAGAAAGTACATCACAGACCTAGTATAATTGATATTTCCTGCAACAGCAAAAAGAGGTGAGAATGCTGCAAGATTTTTGATTTGCATTTCATAATTACCCCGACGAATACCAATTTTGTGCCCAACCCAATACCCAGCCTAACAAAAAAAGCGGTACCAGGTTCTTAAAACATAATTTTCTCCACTTTCAATATCATTAATAGTTTGATTAGTATTATTTAAATATTTAAAAATAGCAATTCCCACAGCAACCCAAATTAGTTCTAGGACTCGGCAGGTGGCTTGATAATCTACAACCTTTTCTAATTTATCAAGGAAGCGAACACCAAGCTTAGCTGCCATATTAGCTATACCATATCCTGAAAAAGTCTTTATAAGTACATTGTACATACAACGAGAGGTATGCCACTGATCTAAGAGAGGTCTTATTGTTTTGTCTTTGTTCTTTTCTTTATATGAAATTAATCGATGAAAGATCGCCTCATCACATGCAATATTTAGACATCCAGAATTTGCTATTCCAACATCATCATAATACAAATCGCACGCTTTATAGACATTCTCATCACAATTTGGGTTATCTCCAGGTTTAAGGATTACAACTTTTGGTGGGTTTACTTTACACCCAATTGGTATCTCTTGTAAAATCTTTTGTAAAATGTCATCAACACTCCAATTATCATTATTTGTATTTAGAAAATT